GTTAATTGGTACGACATTTTTATCGATTTTGTTTTTTCTAACCTTAACTTTTGTACCGTTAGTGCCCGCAGTTTAGTTAAGGCTGGAACAGATCTAACAATATGTTCTAATTTCTCTTCACAGATTATTGTAGTAGCATTATAAATTGTGATCGTTTTTTGTGATTATGTCGTTTTTAGACTGTTTTACATATTATTAGTCAGCTGTATCTCTGGTTAGTACTTTATTATGGATATTTTTAATGCACAGCAATTATTTTTTATCGCTTTTTAATCATTGTTCGTGATTACGTTCTGTTTAGTCTGTTTTGCCTTTACATAATAATTATCTGTATATTCGGTTGGGATGGGTGTTTTAAATGCGATTAAATCTGACTATCACGTGGCCACGTGACCACAGCTACAGACTTACTAAGTTTCTAGTCTACTTTATAACTCGAATATTTCAGTTTTTCTGTCTGACCACCCACGTGCAAATTTGGTGAGGATTAAGAAGTAATGGTGAGGATTGAATAGTAATGAGGGTGGAAACGCGCAACTACAAAAAAAATCATTAGCTTCCTCCCTGTGACCACAGGCTTTTTTGATAGCTTTCTGCTTAAGTGCTCTTACCATTGTGACTATATCCAAAAGTTAACACACGATTTTTTAAGCGGAGTGCTGGATTGCAAGCGGAGGGCTGGGTTGCAAAGGTAGACTGATGTATATGTCAAGGAAGACGGTGTCTTTCTTTTTAAGGAAGCATTCATAAAATTAATTCTTTGTTCTATTATTGATTTATTGTTCATAGATAATAGGCGTACAAGCATTGATAATTAGATTAATATTCTTTGATCATTTGATCTTCATTTGCTAATTTTGTCAGAGTGTTGCATCCATTTTAATTTTGTATCCTTTTCATTAATCGCTAAGTTCTATAGATTTCGAATTGATGCTTCTTGGTGCGGTAATATTTTGCAAATAGTGCAGTTTTTCACCTGCCTAAAACTTGTTTATGTGCGGTAAATTTGGCGACAAAAAACACAGCAATTAAATAGAACAATTCGCAAAATTTGCAGCCTTTAGGTACACTCGATCTCAGGTTGGCTTATTGGACAGCGTAGTATGTAACGTTGCCTTACACGATTGTTGAGTTACTAAAACAAATAACCAACAAGGTCTTACATTGAGATTCCTGACAATTCAAGATGTACAAATCTAGAATTACGGTCCTAATAATAGAAGATTTAACAATTAAACGGGCAAGGGCTCACTAGTTGAGAAGGTTGTGAGCATAATAATATTATATCAGAGAAGTACAACAGATTAAAATTTCCAACACATTGTCCAAATTCAAACGCATTATAATATTATGTACATTGTACAAGCTTAAGTGACTAAAGTGACTAAAGTGACTCAATTTCAATCTGTTGAGGGATTGCAATCCAGTATGACAAGTTCGTTTGTACCAAGATTCACCCTCGATTGTTTTTTGTTAATCAAAATTACTGATAGTATTGAAAGTCGATGCATTATCAACTTGCCATCTGATAATAATAATAATGAAATTTCTGGGAATATTTTCAGCGAGGAATATCATTGTTCTTTGTTATACGTTTGGTTCCAGATCATGGAGTTTTGCCCTGAAATTTAAACACATTCTGAATACCACACGATTTTAGAAGTTTTAGGTTATAAAGTCAATTTTGAGTTATTAACAAAAGTCACTTGGGGGTCTTTCAGAGACAACCTCTTTATGTTTAAGTATCATGTACATACTGTATAGTGTATAATAGGGGTCGTTCACATATTACGAAATCAGCCGAGGGGGGAGGAAGGGGGGTTTCCAAATGATTACGCTAGTGTAATTTTGACACAATAGCTATGTGTAAAACTGATTACGGAGGGTGGTGGGGGGGGGGTTAAAAATTCTCCGAAAAGTGATTGCGTAACAACGGTCCCATATTGGTAAATATTGTTAAAACAGGCGCGAATAACCTTTACCTGCAGATATTTTGACAACATGACAACATGTCAGTATTAATGCTTTTCATACAAAGTTACAACAAAGTCAGTATGTTTTTAACATTAAAATTGTCTATGATATTACAAAGTTACAAATTTTGTCCTCACAAGGTTACCTGTTTCCAATAGTGAATTAGCCGTGTGTTTAGTGTGTTTTACTTTTTAGTATCAGCCATTTCTAGTCATTTCCTACTACACAACCAGGGGATTATAATCCTTGGACGAGTTGCACTTTTCACGTTTGCCTTGTCAGAGAAACTTTATAAAAGCAAGGCAATTATAATTGTTGGAGGAGTTGTGTGTTTATTTGTCAGCCAATCAAGGAACTTGTTTATAAGTTAGGGATAATTTATTAATTCATGTAATTTATTAATTTATATGAATGCCACTCCATGGGGTGCAGGTGGCAAGTCCCCATACATCGTGGTCCGGTAGTTTCATTGCGTCTTAATATAAGACTTATTGACAATGTCAGATGACAATATCATCTGCTAAAACCAGTGTGAGTTTAACTCGACGCACCAATAACGTCGAACACAAAATTTAGACATGACAATTATAGATTATTCTTAATCATGCTTGCTGCATGATGACTTCATGATAAAATTTAAACATGTCCTTTTAATATTTTAATATAGTTATCGGTGTTTAATAGTGAATTAGACAATATTTAATATAATTACAAATGGCATCGTCTTCCTTACAAAGTTACAGTGATAGTCATTTCCTGTCAACGCGTTGTGTAACCTAGTTTAGTCAATGTTTTACTTTAAAATGGAACCAGATTTTTAAACTTCTCATTACACAAATATATTATACAGATTCTGTTTATTTTTGTGAGTATTGAGTTTCTCCACTGACACTTGACGTCATTAAACTGTCACGTGACACTTTTGAATCTTGTTATGCAAAGCTGACTTCTCATCTGACCCCCCTTATTGTCTCACAGGAACCATGAACACATCTGACGTCATCATCAGAGCACTCCCCCCTCGCTCGGACCTCTACAATCCCCACATTAAATCCTACCCAGACTACCCTGGTATGGCAACACCCTTTACACCTCTCGACTTCTCACTCGGGTCCCTTCTCTTTCTCTGTGCTCTGGTCGGTATCCCTGGTAACATCTTCGGACTCTTCTACTTCACCTTTAAGACGCGCAGAGACAGGGTTACCTTGCTTTACATTGTTATCTGCGGTGTGGACACTATGACATCCTTCAGCCACCTCCCGGTAGCTATAGCGCTGTTCCGAGGTAGAAAACCAGGGGTTTTTAACAACCATCTCTTCTGCGCTCTCTGGGAGTCCCTCTACACAATCCTCCAGAAGACCTCTATATTCCTAGTCCTCCTCCTCAGTGTATCCCGTACCATAGCAATAGTGAAACCCTTCTATAAAATCCGGATTATCACCGTCATGTGCAGTTTGTTGGCGTACGTGTTTATCTTAATCCTGATACCGGTGGTTCAGTACGTGGTAATCCCACTCCGGGGCGAGTTCAAGTACTCGTGGGATGGTGCTTACTGTTACTATAACTTTGAGATGAAGTTCGAGCATGCTGTTAATCTGGTTATGGTGGGGCTGCCTCCTATTCTTACTTTTATCTCCTTTTTAGTGTCTATTATCAGGCTGACAGCGGATAGGAAGAAGGTAGGACCAGGAGCAAAGGCGAAAGAAACCCAGAAGTGGAAGTATCGAGCGAGTGTTACGATAGTGCTGTTTACCACCTTGTTCTTAGTGTGTAATCTCCCCCTTTTCATCAACATGCTGCACAATATGACGACACGTTTCTTTGGGGTGGACTACCCAGGGGTATACTTCGGTACACGGTTCATGTACTGGTATTCTTGGCATGTGGCCAAGATGGAGAGTGTGGTGGTGAATGCGGCTCTCAATCCTGTGCTGTATTTCTGGAGGATGAACAAGTTTAGGGTGTGGTGTGTGGATGTGGTTATATGTAGGGGTTTGAGGAAGGAGGAGGAGGGGAACAAACCTGGTTTTACTCAGGTACAGAGCTCGACGGTGTTTATGCCGGAGAAAGTGGAGTTAGAAAAAGTGTTGGAAAATGTTGAGAGTTAGCATGTGGTCAAATTATCGGTTGAAGTGTTGTCGATTAAGCCAGTTTTATAGACGAGCTAGAGCTGTCAGTTATTATTGATCGTATTATTTTGGGATAAATCATAAATATAAAATGTTTTAAATGGTCCTTAAAACTTTAAAAACAAGTTATTTCGTTCCTAATCTCGCTTTAATGACTTGAATGTACATCTACATGTTGAAGCGTGTAACAATATTAGAACTTGCTTACGACTGTAGACTTAAGACTGTATAAATAGTATTTATGAAGTCTCTATGTTTATAGGGATATTGAATAATGAATATTAATGAATAAAATTCATCGAAAAAAGGACTTGTTTTGAAATTTGATACAAACTTGAGTTAAAACTTTATTAACCCATGTTCCATAACAGCTAATGGTTCATTTTGTTACTCAAAAATATATAACTTATAAGATGTGATTTAGACAAGCTGTTTTGCTAAACATTATTAGATAATTATATAATAATGTATAATAATAACGTGCAGTTTTCAACCCTTTTTATAACCCTAAAAGCCTAAACTAAAATCTGTAATTGACTCAATCTTGAAAAATATTATCAAAACGTCATAAACATTGGGTTTTATTTTTCTTATCTTTTAACTTCAACAAACAAGATAAATATACTTGATCCCTGATAAAGATAAAACCATTCCCCCCGCCCCCCCCCCCCCCCCTCTCCCCCGGGCCTCCACCCCCGCAACAGACCTATTAAATCTAAGAATGCACCAGTTGTACCTGCTGATGCCCCCCCGGCCCCCCCCCCCCCCCCCGGCCCCACCCCCTTTAGTTTAACACATACCTGCTGATGCCCCCCTCCCCCACCCCCTTTATTTAAACACATACCTGCTGATGCCCCCCCCCCCCCCCGGCCCCACCCCCTTTACTTAAACACATACCTGCTGATGCCAGGAATGTTTACAGAGGAGATGAACAGCAGGTAGGTTCAGTTTCTTCACACACTGAGTACACTTGTTTGTTTGGAAGATTACTGGTTCTGTCTTTAGCTTCTTTATCTCTTCCCGCATTTTCTGGGCAGATGAGAAAAATATATGAGCTATAAAATTATACCTGTAGTGCACAAATAATCGGTGGTTTAAAAAAAGTTGTCAATGAGATCAGCAGATCAGCCACACAATCCAATCATTACCGAACCACTTTTTGTCGATTTTACGGTCGAAAATACGTCTCCCAGTTCCCACTCTGGTTAATTACTAATCACCTTGATTATTAATTACTAATTGCTATTTAAATTACTAATTACTCACAGTAGCTTCCTCAGAATATTTCTTGATCAGGATCTCATTCTCATTTGTCTGCTCTTCCTCTATCTGTATGTGTCGTGTTATGTAGTTCATCAGCACTGATATGGGAGTTTTAGCGTTCTCTGATAAAGCTTTTACCACCTGCAAAAAGGGAAATATTGGTTATTTTTAGCTCATATTATATTACTACATACTCTATTAACAGTTTTTGACTGATTTGAATGTCCTGCACAGCAGATCGAAGCAAATTATTTACTATTTTTATTGTATTGCTGTGTAAATTTGATTCTAATTATAATTCTAATTTTAATATCTGGGTATTTTAGATTTAGGAAAAATAACATTTTCTAATTTAGTTATTATGCTTTTACTACCTGCGAAATAATAATAAATAGCAACAAAGCCAATCCTCAGTATTAAAAAATCGAAAGCGAAACCGTTAATCGATGAAACACTACATACATTGTTTAATGTATTATATTATGTAATCAATTAGCAATCAATTAGCAATCAATTAGCGAACCATTAGAGGAGGAAGAAGGTTCTTCTGTTCGATGTACTGTAGGATCTCAGCCACGTGTTCTCTACTCTCCTCGTCCTCCCGAACTGCAAAATACCTGAACAAAACAATTAATAAATTGGGAAAATTAATTAATTAATTAAATTAATTAATTAATTAAATACGGTGAAATGTCAGTCACCCTTATCTCCTCGTCCTCCCGAACTGCAAAATACCTGGACAAAACAACAAAACTTAAAAACGTACACCTTATAATAATAACATTGTTTGATACATATTTAGCCTCACAAAAACAGTTGCAAGCAATCTCAACGAGAAAAAAGTTATCACATTCAGAAATGTCAAAGAAATTGACAAAAATTGTTTTGCGGATAATCTTGCTGAGGAATTGGTTACTGTAATGGATCCTGAGGGTCTATCACAAGCTGAAATGCCGTCATTTGAAAGCCGCATCAGCCTATACAACTCTAAGTGCCTAACTGTGCTGAATAACCATGCTCCTCTCCTCACAAAGGAAATCAAAGAACGTAAGTCTGCCCCTTGGTTCGATGGTGAATATAAAGCACTTAGAAGCCAAAGAAGAAAAGCCGAGACAAAGTGGAAAATCTCCGGATCTTTAACTGACAAGAAACACTATGAATCAATCAGAGAGCAGTGCACAGAACTCTCAGACAGGAAGAAACATGAGTTTTTCAAAGTCGAATTCATAAAGCATTCCTATTCTTCTAAGAGTCTTTTTAGATTTATGGACACCTTTCTTGATCGGGATAAAAGCATTGTGTTGCCTTCGTCGGAGTCTCTCAAGGACACAGTCGAAAACTTTAACGTATATTTTCAGGAGAAAATAAAGGCAATACGTAATAACTTTGATCATGTGGAGTCTGACGATCAAACGCCCTCTTACTGCGGAGAAAAACTAGCTGAGTTCTCTCCAACTACTCTAGAAGAACTAGAGGAGATAATCAAGGCATCTGAGATCAAGTCTTCTTCAATTGACCCTCTACCTGCAAACATCTTTAAAGAAAACCTTGAGGTTCTACTACCCGTCTTAGTTGACATAGTAAATGCTTCATTATCTTCTGGCAGTATTGATGGCGCTAAACTAGCTCATATCACACCCCTGATCAAGGGCCAGGGATTAGATAGTGATAATCTCAAGAATTACAGACCAATATCTAACCTTAGTTTTGTAGGCAAGTTGATAGAAAGAGTAGTGCTCAGGCGTCTAAATGAACATCTAGAAAACAACAACCTGAACATCCCACAGCAGTCTGGATACAAATCAAAACACAGCACCGAGACTCTGCTTGTGAGAGTTGTTAACGATCTACTCATTGCATCTACAGAAAGCAAGGCAACTGTTGTTCTTCTCCTAGATCTCAGTGCAGCTTTTGATACAGTTGACCACTGCAAACTTCTGAACATCCTCAGAAATGAGTTGGGAATAACAGGGACAGCTTGGAAATGGTTCAGCAGCTTCCTCACAGGTAGATGTCAAACGATTAAAGTTGGAAATGAGGAATCTTATGAGATAGTGATTAAGTTTGGAGTCCCACAGGGCTCTGTGCTGGGTCCGGTCCTGTTCAACATCTACATTCGCTCTTTGTACTCAGCAGCACATGATTTGAACTTCTCCATCCAGGGTTACGCCGACGATCATCAGCTGTATAAAAGTTTTAAGCCAAACGAGGAGCCCACCGTCCTTATCAACAATGTTCCCAAATGCTTCCAAGAAATTAATGACTGGATGAAAAAACATTATCTACAGCTCAATGCAGGAAAAACTGAGATTCTTGTTTTTGGGACACCGCTTGTTCTCCAGCAGCTGTCTATAGGGGGCGTGTTTGTTAACTCTGAGACGTGTGTAAGGCTGTCACCTGTTGCAAAGAACCTCGGATTTCGTCTCGACTCTCAACTAAACTTTGGTGAGCAAATCAAGCAACTTAAAACATCGTGTTTTCTGAAACTAAGAGACCTTGCTAAGATGAAAACATTCCTCACAACCAAACAGATGGGAACACTGACTCAAGCAATTGTAATCTCATCGCTTGACTACTGCAATGCGCTTTACTATGGTTGTAGTCAAGCCTCAATTACGCAGCTGCAGAACATTCAGAACCGAGCATGCCGTCTGGTTTTTGGATTAAAGAAGAGAGACTCAGTCGAGGAGAAGCTCAAATCCCTTCATTGGCTCAAGGTGAAGGAAAGGATTGAGTTTAAGTTATGTTTACTGATTTTCAAAGTAGTCAATGGTGTTGCTCCTGTATATCTGTGTGATCTAGTAACATTTGTTAGTTCGAGTAGCAGAAGAACTTCCTCCTTACACCTACCTGTCGGATCTACAAGATCGCACCCAAGAGCGTTTCAGACTGTTGCTCCGAAAATCTGGAACCAACTACCAATTGAAATTAAGACTTGTTCTGATGTTGATCTGTTCAAAACATTATTAAAAACTCACCTGTTTAAGAAAAGTTATGGCATGAGCGATTAATTGACAATATAACTTTATGTTATTTGCTTAAACTGTTTAGGATGCAACCTAATGTCATGATCTTTTTGAACTTATTAGCTATTAGACTGTTAGCTCGCTTCATAAGCATGTCATCTTCGTTCCAAAACTTTTTATGTCCTATGCATACAATCCTTGATAGTTATCTTGATCTAGTATCTTTGTTTCACACAATAGAGCATAAGTTTTGTGGTTTATCCACTGGGCTTAGAGTTTGTGTTTAAGCTACCAAATTTTATTATTATTATTATATTCCTCGAACAGGTGATCAAAGCAAGTCATGTCAGAATTTATTATTTCAATAGGGCACTCAGTGACTGAAAAATAAGCCCCAACGTGTGTGTACTGACTTTTGCTCTTTAGGCTGCCAATCTTTTAACCTAGACGTAAATACCGCTGGTATTACCAACCTGTGATAGTCACGTTGACAATTAACTAATTAACTAAATAACTAATTAGCTATAGACAGCTGGTATTACTATATTACTAACCTGAGAGCTTGTACCCAGAGTGATGCCTCCTCAGTACCAAGCCTCCAACACAGGTCCATTATACTCCTGCAATAAGAGTGGGTAGAGAAGACAAAAACAGGAGAAGTAAATTTAAAGCTTTAAAGACATATAATAAATAAATAATATATAAATATAATCCGATATAATACGGTTCAATCTAATAAAAGAACATTTAAAGATGGCCAACAGGGCTCCTATTCTCAATATTTCGGTATGGTTATAGCTCAGATCATCACAAAAACTGTAATACCTCGTGGTAAAAAACCAAGAAAGTGACTATCACGAAACTATCACGTGACTGAAGTATACACTAACTGAAGTATCACGAAACTAACTTATACTCGTTGTCCTCACAGTAACAATCCAATACGTGTTGGTAAAGACCACGCTTCTCACAGAGTATAACAATACCAGGTTGGAGTCTGTACAGCTGCATTAGGAGCAGGGCGTGGTCAGGGTCATACCTGGTGATTAGCGGGCAATTAGTGTGCAATTAGTGAGCAATTAGTTGCAGATTAGCGAGCAATTAGTTGCCGATTAGTGACCAATTACTGACTTTTTACCCCATTAAGCTATTAAGTGTAGACAGGTAATCGACTGTTTGGCCATCTCTTTTTTTAATAGTCAGCAATTACCGAATTAACTCATCGACCAATTAACTAATCGACCAATCAACTAATTAACTAATTAACCTTAATTAACTAATTACCTAGCAGTGTCGTTCTGCAGCATCTCCACTACCTGTTCTGTTCTCTTCTCCCTACACTCTTCCTTCTGGGAATCTCTTAAGTACAGCTCCAGCAGCGCATTATAAACTGAGGAAATTGGGAAAATTAATTAACTAATTAATTAATTAATACAGTGAAATGTCACTCACCGGACCAGCCTACTCGGAACCAGTCAACTATCGGACCATTAAACTTCCAGAAATTTTCAAAAGGTGCCGAAAATTTGATTCCAGGGTGCTGCCGGATTAATATCCAACGTCTTAAAAACTGTTATTCTAGTTGAAGCAACTCGGACCAATAAAGTCCCGAATTTAATGTCTTTCGGACCAAATTATTCCAGTAGTGCGATATAAACTAAGGAAATTGGGGATCACTATAATAGTTTATTGCAGTATTGGAATTTGGATATTATAATATTTTAAATGTTACGCAGTTATGCTTCAATTTCAGCCCAGTTTCTGATTATCAGCCCACTTGCTGAATATCAGTGTAATATTCACTAATAAAGTAATGCATAGCATAATATAACAAAACATTAATTAATAAGATCACCTTGAGAAGATGATTCAGGTTGTCTATCCACGATAGCTTCGAGAAACAGTATCAGACAGTCATTCCTGCAGGAGGATGGAATGTTACTGTTAGCTACAAAATACCACAGGGCACCTTAAAGTCAACCTCACTCTACCTAACCATTTTACATCAACATATTTTATCCTCATTTCATTCCACTAGTCAACCTTTCTTCACCTCGCTTTACCTCACTTTACCTCACTAAATAACCTCATTTAACCTCACCTGTTAACAAAGAGAGGTATGAACTCCTCTGGTGGAGGTGGATCCTCAGTCTCCCCACACAGCTGTACTAGTTAACCTCTCTTTACCTCACTTTACCTCACTAATTAACCTCTTTTAACCTCACCTGTTGACAAAGAGAGGTATGAACTCCTCTGGTGAAGGTGGATCCTCAGTCTCCCCACACAGCTGTACTAGTTAACCTCTCTTTACCTCACTTTACCTCACTAATTAACCTCTTAACCTCACCTGTTAACAAAGAGAGGTATGAACTCCTCTGGTGGGGGTGGATCCTCAGTCTCCCCACACAGCTGTACTAGTTAACCTCTCTTTACCTCACTTTACCTCACTAATTAACCTCTTGTAACCTCACCTGTTAACAAAGAGAGGTATGAACTCCTCTGGTGGAGGTGGATCCTCAGTCTCCCCACACAGCTGTACTAGTTAACCTCTCTTTACCTCACTTTACCTCACTAATTAACCTCTTTTAACCTCACCTGTTAACAAAGAGAGGTATGAACTCCTCTGGTGGAGGTGGATCCTCAGTCTCCCCACACAGCTGTACTAGTTAACCTCTCTTTACCTCACTTTACCTCACTAATTAACCTCTTTTAACCTCACCTGTTAACAAAGAGAGGTATGAACTCCTCTGGTGGAGGTGGATCCTCAGTCTCCCCACACAGCTGTATTAGAAACTCTGTCATGTCCTCAGGAAGGTGGTCCATCAGCTGGGAGGACAAGTTTACAACAATTAGTGAGGTTAAGTGAGGTTAAGTTGGTCAATCGGGATATTGTGCACACTGTGCAGCTAATCAGAGTGTAATCTTATTAAAATCAATTAAATCTGATTATTTAGAATCTAATCTAATGTAGGTACTAGATGTTAATTCTTTAATGCTAGATAACAGTTATTTTATCTATGCAAAAGATACTGATGTTCATTGCAATATGATTGATATCCCAAGTCAATCTAGCTTACTTACAGCCATCAAATAGATACTCAGCAAATTTTACTTTAACTTTTTAAACTTTTTAACTGTTTAATTTTAATTGCTTTTTTAACCTGTTTTCCGAAGTTCTTAACGTTTTCCTTCTTCTTATCCAGGCTAGGTAACTCATTAATGTAATCAAGTGCAGTTCTGTAGTCCTGCTTATCTTCTATTTGTATGTGAACGTACCTGTCGGGTAAATAAGTGATTAGCTAATTGGATAATTGGATAATTGGATAATTGGATAATTGGATAATTGGGTAATTGAAGAATTGGATAATTGAAGAATTGGCTGAGCAGATGATGATTGACGAATTATCATATTATAGATCGTTATGATACATTTCGGAAATTCTGTATGATTATTCAATAAAATCTCGTTTTTCTCTTGAAAATGTCATTAGAACTTTACTTATAATGTTATATTAGAAACTGAAGACTAGTAATTATCTTACCAATCGTATTGGTTGAACTTCTTGGCTAGGTAAGCAGCGTCATCAAAATAAGTAGCTTGTCTGCAAACCTTAGCAGGGTACAATATTACATTACTTACAATATTACATTACTTACAATATTACATTACTTACAATATTACATTACTTACAATATTACATTACTTACAATATTACATTACTTACAATATTACATTACTTACAATATTACATTACTTACAATATTACATTACTTAATTATTATAATATTGAATAGGTAAATTAACTATATAATTAACTGTATATTGTGCGCGGCAGAAATACAATTTTGAACATTTCAGTTCAGTTTATTTTATCCTCTCATAGAATTAATATAGAACAGGTTACAGGCCTAAGCTGCTGAATACTTTTTTTTAAAAGCTGAGCTGTATATCTGTGTTAAGAGATTAGCATATTTATTACCTTAGTTCGTTTAATTATGGCTCGTTAAAATTGGCAGTTTTTCGGAAATTCTGCCATATTTTTAGCCGTCATTATTTTTAGCCGTCACAATATTATCCGCCATAAATAAACGAACTAAGGTGACTATAATTAACTGAATTAACTGAATCCAACTCACCTTGATAGCAGTCTCCACATCCCCCCCCCCCCCCCCCCCCCCAATTAACTGAATCCAACTCACCTTGATAGCAGTCTCCACATCCCCCCCCCCCCCCCCCCCAATTAACTGAATCCAACTCACCTTGATAGCAGTCTCCACATCCCCCCCCCCCCCCCCCCCCCCAATTAACTGAATCCATCTCACCTTGATAGCAGTCTCCACATCAAAGTTCAGTTCCCCCTCACTTCTAATAAACTGCTCTAACTTTTGCACATTCTTTAGTTTAGTGTAACAGTTTAGTAGCAGGGTTGTGTGATCTTGGTTCGCTACGTTTGCTTCGTGTAGTGCTTCTAGGTACTGGAGGAAGTAACTTTTGTTAATTAATAACTTTAATTTATTAATTAATTGTAATTTTGTCGAAAATTCGATTGGTCATAATCGGATCTGCAGTCTGCACTAACATCATATAACAAGTTTTCATTAATAAGAACTTTTAACTGCGAGAAAAGCACCAAATGAGACGCCAGACCCAACTTTATCAAACTAAAGGTATCTAACTTATTTACAACTAAATGAGTGAGGTTATGTAGAAATTAATAAGAGATGGTGTACCTGTAGCTGTGTGAGGTTATGTAGAAATTAATAAGAGATGGTGTACCTGTGTGAGGTTATGTAGAAATTAATAAGAGATAGTGTACCTGTGTGAGGTTATGTAGAAATTAATAAGAGATAGTGTACCTGTGTGAGGTTATGTAGAAATTAATAAGAGATAGTGTACCTGTGTGAGGTTATGTAGAAATTAATAAGAGATGGTATACCTGAATTAGGTTATGTAGAAATTAATAAGAGATGGTGTACCTGAATTAGGTTATGTAGAAATTAATAAGAGATGGTGTACCTGAATTAGGTTATGTAGAAATTAATAAGAGATGGTCTACCTGAATTAGGTTATGTAGAAATTAATAAGAGATGGTGTACCTGAATTAGGTTATGTAGAAATTAATAAGAGATGGTCTACCTGAATTAGGTTATGTAGAAATTAATAAGAGATGGTGTACCTGAATTAGGTTATGTAGAAATTAATAAGAGATGGTCTACCTGAATTAGGTTATGTAGAAATTAATAAGAGATGGTCTACCTGAATTAGGTTATGTAGAAATTAATAAGAGATGGTGTACCTGAATTAGGTTATGTAGAAATTAATAAGAGATGGTGTACCTGAGGTGAGTATGTAGAAATTAATAAGAGATGGTCTACCTGAATTAGGTTATGTAGAAATTAATAAGAGATGGTGTACCTGAGGTGAGTATGTAGAAATTAATAAGAGATGGTCTACCTGAATTAGGTTATGTAGAAATTAATAAGAGATGGTCTACCTGAATTAGGTTATGTAGAAATTAATAAGAGATGGTGTACCTGAATTATGTTATGTAGAAATTAATAAGAGATGGTGTACCTGAATTAGGTTATGTAGAAATTAATAAGAGATGGTCTACCTGAATTAGGTTATGTAGAAATTAATAAGAGATGGTCTACCTGAGGTGAGTATGTAGAGATTAATAAGAGATGGTCTACCTGAATTAGGTTATGTAGAAATTAATAAGAGATGGTGTACCTGAATTAGGTTATGTAGAAATTAATAAGAGATGGTGTACCTGAATTATGTTATGTAGAAATTAATAAGAGATGGTGTACCTGAATTAGGTTATGTAGAAATTAATAAGAGATGGTCTACCTGAATTAGGTTATGTAGAAATTAATAAGAGATGGTATCCCTGAGGTGAGTATGTAGAGATTAATAAGAGATGGTCTACCTGAATTAGGTTATGTAGAAATTAATAAGAGATGGTCTACCTGAATTAGGTTATGTAGAAATTAATAAGAGATGGTATCCCTGAGGTGAGTATGTAGAGATTAATAAGAGATGGTCTACCTGAATTAGGTTATGTAGAAATTAATAAGAGATGGTCTACCTGAATTAGGTTATGTAGAAATTAATAAGAGATGGTCTACCTGAATTAGGTTATGTAGAAATTAATAAGAGATGGTGTACCTGAGGTGAGTATGTAGAAATTAATAAGAGATGGTATCCCTGAGGTGAGTATGTAGAAATTAATAAGAGATGGTCTACCTGAATTAGGTTATGTAGAAATTAATAAGAGATGGTCTACCTGAATTAGGTTATGTAGAAATTAATAAGAGATGGTGTACCTGAGGTGAGTATGTAGAGATTAATAAGAGATGGTCTACCTGAATTAGGTTATGTAGAAATTAATAAGAGATGGTCTACCTGAATTAGGTTATGTAGAAATTAATAAGAGATGGTGTACCTGAATTAGGTTATGTAGAAATTAATAAGAGATGGTATCCCTGAGGTGAGTATGTAGAGATTAATAAGAGATGGTCTACCTGAATTAGGTTATGTAGAAATTAATAAGAGATGGTCTACCTGAATTAGGTTATGTAGAAATTAATAAGAGATGGTCTACCTGAATTAGGTTATGTAGAAATTAATAAGAGATGGTGTACCTGAGGTGAGTATGTAGAAATTAATAAGAGATGGTGTACCTGAGGTGAGTATGTAGAAATTAATAAGAGATGGTGTACCTGAATTAGGTTATGTAGAAATTAATAAGAGATGGTCTACCTGAATTAGGTTATGTAGAAATTAATAAGAGATGGTCTACCTGAATTAGGTTATGTAGAAATTAATAAGAGATGGTCTACCTGAATTAGGTTATGTAGAAATTAATAAGAGATGGTCTACCTGAATTAGGTTATGTAGAAATTAATAAGAGATGGTCTACCTGAATTAGGTTATGTAGAAATTAATAAGAGATGGTCTACCTGAATTAGGTTATGTAGAAATTAATAAGAGATGGTGTACCTGAGGTGAGTATGTAGAAATTAATAAGAGATGGTCTACCTGAATTAGGTTATGTAGAAATTAATAAGAGATGGTCTACCTGAATTAGGTTATGTAGAAATTAATAAGAGATGGTGTACCTGAATTAGGTTATGTAGAAATTAATAAGAGATGGTCTACCTGAATTAGGTTATGTAGAAATTAATAAGAGATGGTCTACCTGAATTAGGTTATGTAGAAATTAATAAGAGATGGTGTACCTGAATTAGGTTATGTAGAAATTAATAAGAGATGGTCTACCTGAATTAGGTTATGTAGAAATTAATAAGAGATGGTCTACCTGAATTAGGTTATGTAGAAATTAATAAGAGATGGTGTACCTGAGGTGAGTATGTAGAAATTAATAAGAGATGGTCTACCTGAATTAGGTTATGTAGAAATTAATAAGAGATGGTGTACCTGAATTATGTTATGTAGAAATTAATAAGAGATGGTCTACCTGAATTAGGTTATGTAGAAATTAATAAGAGATGGTCTACCTGAATTAGGTTATGTAGAAATTAATAAGAGATGGTATCCCTGAGGTGAGTATGTAGAGATTAATAAGAGATGGTCTACCTGAATTAGGTTATGTAGAAATTAATAAGAGATGGTGTACCTGAGGTGAGTATGTAGAAATTAATAAGAGATGGTCTACCTGAATTAGGTTATGTAGAAATTAATAAGAGATGGTGTACCTGAATTATGTTATGTAGAAATTAATAAGAGATGGTCTACCTGAATTAGGTTATGTAGAAATTAATAAGAGATGGTCTACCTGAATTAGGTTATGTAGAAATTAATAAGAGATGGTATCCCTGAGGTGAGTATGTAGAGATTAATAAGAGATGGTCTACCTGAATTAGGTTATGTAGAGATTAATAAGAGATGGTCTACCTGAATTAGGTTATGTAGAAATTAATGAGAGATGGTGTACCTGAATTAGGTTATGTAGAAATTAATAAGAGATGGTGTACCTGAATTATGTTATGTAGAAATTAATAAGAGATGGTCTACCTGAATTAGGTTATGTAGAAATTAATAAGAGATGGTCTACCTGAATTAGGTTATGTAGAAATTAATAAGAGATGGTGTACCTGAGGTGAGTATGTAGAGATTAATAAGAGATGGTCTACCTGAATTAGGTTATGTAGAAATTAATAAGAGATGGTCTACCTGAATTAGGTTATGTAGAAATTAATAAGAGATGGTGTACCTGAGGTGAGTATGTAGAAATTAATAAGAGATGGTGTACCTGAATTAGGTTATGTAGAAATTAATAAGAGATGGTGTACCTGAATTAGGTTATGTAGAAATTAATGAGAGATGGTCTACCTGAATTAGGTTATGTAGAAATTAATAAGAGATGGTCTACCTGAATTAGGTTATGTAGAAATTAATAAGAGATGGTCTACCTGAATTAGGTTATGTAGAAATTAATAAGAGATGGTGTACCTGAATTATGTTATGTAGAAATTAATAAGAGATGGTCTACCTGAATTAGGTTATGTAGAAATTAATAAGAGATGGTCTACCTGAATTAGGTTATGTAGAAATTAATAAGAGATGGTCTACCTGAGGTGAGTATGTAGAAATTAATAAGAGATGGTGTACCTGAATTAGGTTATGTAGAAATTAATAAGAGATGGTCTACCTGAATTAGGTTATGTAGAAATTAATAAGAGATGGTCTACCTGAATTAGGTTATGTAGAAATTAATAAGAGATGGTCTACCTGTGTGAGGTTATGTAGAAATTAATAAGAGATGGTCTACCTGAATTAGGTTATGTAGAAATTAATAAAGCCCCCTCCCGGGTTGCAACATTGCCATGTTACGCAAATAATTGCCGCGCTAACGAAATATTTGCCATCTTAGCAAAATATGCGCCGTGTTATGATGAATTTGCCAGGCTGCGCGTGATGATGCAAATATTTCATAAGGAGGCGAATTTTACGTTAGAAAAATGCGCATTCTTAGCAAAATATTTGCCAAACGGTCTGACGCGCGCTGCACGCTCCTTTTTAGTTTGTTTACGCGAGAATGAAATCTTCGCATTCTTAGCAAAATATTCGCCTCCTTATAATTTATTTGCGCGAGAGTTAAATCTACGCTTTCTTAGCAAAATATTCGCCACCTTATAGTTTATTTGCGCGAGAGTTAAATCTACGCTTTCTTAGCAAAATATTCGCCACCTTATAATTTATTTGCGGGAGAGTTAAATCTACGCTTTCTTAGCATAATATTTGCCGCCTTATAATTTATTTGCGGGAGAGTTAAATCTAGCTACGCTTTCTTAGAAAAATCATTGCCACATTATATTTTACATGTCTTCATTTGTGATAGGAATTAGGATCATATGCTGCTTACGACTCTGCAGTGACTCACATACTGTATACGTAGATTGAACTGACCCGAAAGAATTATGATCAGTGGATCACTTCGAAATACATA